TTACCAACCAATCATCATCGTCCATAAAATACAGCAGTTATTGCATACTTCGTATGCAATAACTATATAATATTCAAAATAAGTTATTACAATTTGTTTAATATTCATAATTTGTTTTTAATGAATACAGTATTACTATTTATTCGTATGAATTTAGTGCGCAATACGATAATTTGAGCATTTAAAATCAGATATCTAAGTTCATGAATATTACCATTAATTTTAGTGCATGAGAATAAAGAACATTTATTAATCTAAGTATTTAGATTCATGAATATTTATTATGGCATTACAGCATGGACATACGGAGAATGCGTATTAATGCACACAGACTTAACTTGATTTACCTTATGAAATATTTCTTATAAAAGTCCCTATTTACGAAGTCCAGACTGAAAAGATTGGACTATTAACGGCATTAATTTTACCCGTGCTCAACGGCACCGATTCTTGCTATTTTCACTAAAATAAAGAATTTATAAAATGGGACTTTTTCTTAGTACGCTTTAGTTGGTTGTTATCAATTACAGGTACCAAAAATTCCATTTGTAATTTACAATACATATCATTTATCATTCTTCGTCACATTGTTCTTAGTTTTGTTAGGGTAGACTCTTCTTGTCTTTTCAGATCTTTTCACATACCGTATAAATCGATAATTTATAATCATATCAGAGACATCTGAAATAAGATCTTTTTCCTTTATTATTCAATTATATTACGCTCAAAATTATTGGTTAATACAGTAGATTCGAAGCCTCACATTATAACGAAATATAATCAGAATTACCTGGTACCAGGGTTGGCAATGGAGCTCAATGGAACCCAATGGTCTGCGAATGGAGCCAATGGAGTCAATGGAGTCAATGGATACTAGTTTTTTGAGCTCCATTCACGTAACCATTTAACTCCTTTGGCTCAATTGCCAACCCTGCCTGGTACGTACGTACGTGATATACATCACTCCGTTCCTGGTATGATTTATTATCATCGAAATAGAAGCGGGCTTTTAATAAAATAGAATATACAGTATGATAAAATAGGAAGTTAATTGGAAATTATATATACTGATACGTATATATGTAAAGTAAGAATTTAACACATTGAGATTAATAATAAAAATAAACCTTCGGGCTTGTGGGTTTTCATTTATTATTTATCAAATTCAGCTCATGAAAATCTGATCAGTTATATACATGTACAATAGATCTACAAATTACACATTTGCTTCTAATTAAGAAAATTTCTTCCGAATATTCTAATTTTTTTTTAATTGTTAATAAAATAATAATTTGAAATTTTGCTTTATAAAAGGTAAGAATTTAACTTTATTATGGAATCAAAAAAAAAACAAAAAACTAAAAATAATCTTAAAAGCAAAAATAATATAATTGCGTTTAAAAATTATTATTTAATTAATAAAAAGAATTTTTGTTAAAATAAAAAAAAAAAGACTAAGATCCGAAATTTTGCCTTGTTATTCATTTTTTTGGTCGCACCTTTTATGATTTTGGTTAAAGAAGAGACTGAATTTAATGATTGCTTACCCGAGGAAAATGCAGTATTCAACATAGTCCTTGATTCTGATCATCCATCACCTAATGATTATTTCTATATTATTGGTACAGTATCGACAAGAACAACATTGATAATGGACCTACCATAAGTACTATGTTTTATAATGAAAGTGGCATCTTATACTCTCCTGATTCTCTTGATTTTTGTGGTGGTGGAGTGGAAATCAGTAGAGAATGCCCATATAATCATTTTAACTTTAACGGACTAGTAACTAAAGCATTTCCTCAGCTGCTTCCACCATACACCATCCAAATCTGTAATTTTGTATGTAATTAAATGTCATTTTTACGAATTTGATGTCAAAAGGGATAATATAATAAAATATACAGTATGATAGGATAGGAAGTTAATTGGAAATTATAATACTGATACGTATATATGTAAAGTAAGAATTTAACACACTGAGATTAATAATAAAAATAAAACCTCGGGCTTGTGGGTTTTCATTTATTATTCATCAAATTAGGCTCTGATCAGTAATATATACGTGTACAATAGTGATCTACCTTTGCTTCATACATATTTCTAATTTTTTTTAAGTTGTTAATAAAATAATAATTTGAAATTTTGTTTTATAAAAAGGCAATAATTTCACTTTATTATGGAATCAAAAAAAATTAAAAATAATAAAATAATTTCACTCAAAAATTCTTATTTAATAAAAAGAAATTTTGTTAACCATAAAAAAAAAAAGATTATGATTCGAAATTTTGTCTTGTTATTCATTTTTTTGGTCGCACCTTTTATGATTTGGTTAAAGGAAATCCTCAATTTAATGATTGCCAACTCGAGGCTGATGCAGTACTCAACATAGTCCTTGATTCCGATCCTCCATCACCTTATGATAATTTCTATATTGTTGGTACAGTAAAGACCAAGACAAACATTCTAGAAGGCGCTACCTTAACTACTAAGTTTTATAATGAAAATGGCACCACCTTATACTCTCCTGATCCTCTTGATTTTTGTGGTGGTGGAGTGAACATCAATAATGAATGCCCATCTAATCATTTTATCTTTTACGGATTAGTAACTAAAGCATTTCCTGAGTTGCTTCCAATTGAAGGTACTGATGAAACTTTTGCTTGTGCATCTGCTCATCTCACATAGTTCATCTCTTTCTCTCTTTTTTAAAATATTTTAATTATTTTATATTTTATTCACTTTGAAAATGAAATTTATTTAACATTTATTATATAACGTACCTATCATATGTTTTATTATGTTTTTTAGATTTTCTATAAAAATTTTCGATACAAACCTTTTATGTTAGTGCATTTTAGTAAAAGTCTTTATTTAATTAGTGGTCAACAGATAATAAAAATTTATAAACTTCGCAATTTCATATCGCAGTTAACCTTTTAGTTTACATAATACAAACGAAAATGGGGACACCTGCTGTAATAATTGTGTCAATTCCCATTAATTTTTTTAATAATCTATTAAATGGTATCCAAATCAAGTCGAGATCCTTTTATCTCTACTTATCCATCCTTGAATTATTGTATTTGAACTAAATTGGAACTAAATTTTAATTGTGATATCTTCGTTATGAATATTTATTTCTCTGCTAGACTTCTTTATTTGTTAAATTAAATTTTCATATTAATCATTTTACACTTGCGTGTAAATTAATGTGAATAAATAAACTAAATTTAAATTGCAAATAAGCAATTAATGAAAGTTTCTTCTTGTTCAAATGCTAAACTAATGCGATTAAAATAATCAAATAATAAATACTCAAATTAATACAGGAAATATTCTATATTTTTTACTAAATTAACGTGAATGAAATTAAATGGTAAATTTTCAAGAAATTGCTTATTTCAAATTTCTTTATACACATGTACTGAATTAATGCGAATAGTTTAAATTTTTCGATTACTGTAATGTATACTTATTGGGCAACATTGTGGAATAACGACAATTTGTCCAATAATAGTGTATTTGGCAATTTACGACCATGGCCCCCTACAAATCAGTGTATAAAATCTGAATTACAAAACATGTGCACAAGGTAAAATTTTATATGTAAAGATAAAAAAAACATGTGCACATGAGCACAATGTGCACGTTGATTTTATACACTGCTACAAATACCAATTTATCTAAAAAAAAAAGATAATAGGTTTTCTTTTTAAAAGCAAAGAAAAAAAAATTTTTTTTTTATAATACCTTTTATTGTTACCAAAAGTTCAAGGTGTTAGTTCAGTCGTCTAAAATACTCGGAGAAATTATCATTACATGATAGTATTGTAATAATCCGACAATACCGGTACATAATCTGTAAAAGAAATGCAAAACTAAAACAATTCAAAAACTCCGAACCTACCTACAGCGCATTACTTAGCAAAAGTATTTCTTGCAAATTTTTTGGTAATCTAATAATGAAGTCCGACTCTAATCTAACAACAGAAATTTTTTAGCAAAATGTTCTAATACGTATATCTTAAAATATTTTAAGACTTTATATTAAAAAATAGGATCAAATTTTCAGCATCAGCAGCCACAATTATTTAAAGCTAGTTACTTTCTTGACGTGCTAGATCGTAAAAAGAAGAGTCACTTATTAAACATTGTAAATATATAATATATATCAAGATTAATAAAAATATTTCTTTTTTCTCTTAAGATGCATAAGCTTATAATTAGATAACTATTTGTGTTAAATTAAAAGAAATCACTAAACAGGTGCTCTATCTCTTAAATAATCAAATTAATCAATATGTCTAGAATTTTGGTATTGAACTAATGATTCTAATTTACCTGTACATTATAACATATTTATCCCTTAGGCTGTAAACTTTTACAGGAAAATTTGTTCGCAAAAATTTCCAATGATTGCACATACAGTATTTACTACCGTTAAAGGGCATTTTAACCAATTAAAATTTAAGATCAGAATCAGGTGTAACAAGCAGATCAGCTTTTTATAACAAAAATAAAAAACAATTATATCTCAAAATTTTGTCTTGAGCTTTAACAAAAAAATTCCATGCTAAATTTTACTATAAAAATTACTTAACCCTAACCTTTGACCACCCTAATATTAAAAAAAGTTAATTTTTGGTTTGGTTTATATGTTACACCAGTTTGTTTATTACATATAAGGTAGCAGTGCTATAGTGCTATAATATTTCCATAATTCTAAACTTATTGATATTAAGGTATGTACAAGAACTTTACCTTTTTTTCAAGCATAATTAACAATGCGGGATTATCAAAAATCTAAAAAAAATTGAAAATAGTTTGAATGCCTTTTTGTTCACAATTCCAACATAATTAACATATGGTGTATATGAATCGAATATATCGAATTTATATGGACCCGAATCATTGAGACCAGGTCCAACAAAAATCCATATTAAGTATCCAAGCCCGGACCAATCCCTACTTTCAAGTCTTTTTAGTAAATAATTTCGTGTGAACGATTAAATAATTTTATCGAAAATTACTGTAAAATTTTAAAATTTTTAATTGAAATAGACATACCTACTTTAAGTCATACTGCTAAAAACAAAATAAGTATTAATTTTTTTTTGTTGCTTTTGCAAATATATGAAATTTTACCAATTATTTAGCAACTTAACAGTAACATTTATTTTTCAGTACAACAAATTGCAGTATTGGAAAGCGATTTTCCCAAGAACATAACACTGACTAACTATTTCCTTTCGGAAAAATGGTTACATTATTGTATTAAATCTATTAATTAGCAATTTGCAGTACCATTTTATTTATTCGCAGCATTGTATCAATATCAATAAAAATGAATTTGAAAATGGTTGTGTCAAGTATTTTTTAAACAAAAGTAAAAATCGCGGCCTGAAATACTTAAAATTACAAGCTTGTAAACGTAGGTCTCAGCAAAATTTTATTCTCGAGAATAAAGTACCGAACAAAAACTTTATAAAAATTTTCTTGGTTAAGTTAGAAGCATTTATTTTCGTTATAAGTTATTTTTGGATTTTTTATTACCAGTAGAAAGAATTCTGGAAGCGCATAAAAAATACTTTGCTAAATAAAATTATTATGTATTTATTTTATTATTATTATTATTATTGAAGAAAAATAAATTGTTTTGATTTTGCGACTATGTTAAAGTAGCGTATCCAATCAAGATGGGATTTCATGCATCAATCATAACTGGGGGTGAAATCAAGGCTCCCGGTGCACAACATGAAAGGTTCCACCGACAGATGACCTCCAAAAAGGAAGATCTAAAGATTTTTAAAGGTATTTGATAAAATTCAGTAAATTTTTTTTAAAAAATTGTTCTATTCTAGAATAAAAACATAAATTTGGATAGATAAATATTGAGAAATCTATATTTAAAGTTTAAAAAATCATTCAATATCTTGAAAAAAAAAGCCAAATTTTCTTTTTTCAATTTTAGACGAGGATTGTTCGACAATAAAGATCCGAATTCGATGAAATTATTCACATGAGAACATGAAATTAAATAAAAAATTTTTATCGAATTTGGATAATTGTCGAGAAATCTTAATTAAAAGATAAAAAAAATTTGAATGCAGTTTTTTTTTATAGGTGCTTAAACTTTGAACTAGAGATGGGCAAATTTTTTACGTATTACAGTATTACTTATTAATATTAATATTTATCTAAGATTTTTTACTCAAGTAATTAATATCTTTTGCAACGGGTATCACAATTGAAATTAAGAAATTTTAATTTTCCAATTTAACCTGACATAGCAAAAGCACTATTTGCAAATTCTTTATAAAACACGCAGTTTTTTGTTAATTTTGAAACCTCTACTAATCGATTTCAGTAACTAATATTTTGTTTACAATCAAGTCTCACAATGCTTGTGTTGACAAGTATCACAATACTTGTGCTGGCAAGTATCACAATGCTTGTGCTGGCAAGTATCACAATGCTTGTGCTGCTGACAAGTATCACAATGCTTGTGTTGACAGGTATCACAATGATTGTGCTGACAGGTATCACAATATTTGTGTACATTTTTCAAGGACACGTGAATATCCATTCTTACTTCCTCAACCGATAAACGCCAGTTAAAATAACGAACATTACTATGTATTTAATAAAATGATCATTTAAATACTTTTGACTACCAAAATTAACTTTATCATAATAATCCGTACCTGATTTCTCCATCAAATCCGATAGTGAAAGCTTTACCAATATATAGCGGACCATTATTAAAGGTAACCTTTTGCGATTGAACGTTCTCAACCAGGAAAGGAAAGTGTCCGACCCATTCACCATCTATGTAAACATCTAACCTTTTTTCCAAGTCTGATAGTGTATAAGCTATATGGTACCATTTATGTAAAGCAAATTCATCGCCGGCCGCCCAAACTCCTACATTACTATTCCAGTTACCAGAAAAACGACCGTGTAATTTGGATTTGCCTGCTGTCAGCCAAAGCCCGGGAGTACGGACGTAATGTTCGGTGCCTAAATATTTGTATATTTTAATGAATATCAATTTAACAACCATTCTTCGCAAAGATATATCAACATACCTTTATGAAAAATAGTAGCCCAGTCGGAAGGATAACTTTGAAGCTTTAGCCACAATGTCATTGACAGCTCATTTTTCACCATAGGTAAATCGTCATGATTAAAAATTGTTTGATCTTGAGTTCTAAAAGTCCTACTGTTCGAAATAAGCTCGACCCACTCTCGTGCTTCGAAACGCTCTCGTGCTTCTCGTGCAATGAATTTTTTCATTTTCTAAAAAAAAAAATAAAAAATTATATCATAATTAATAATGCAACATCTTATTTTTGAGAGCTTCAATAGAATAACAACCTTATTTTCGAAAAAGGTCCTATTTCCTAAATATTATCCAACTTTAAAATTCAATGATTTTAAATAGTAATTTTTTCATATGTAATCTTACGAAGCATATGCTTACTAACGCATTTTTTAATGATGTCGTTGTCACGGGAATTTTTGTTCTAATCATTGCATCAAAATCACCGATGGGAATACAGTATTCCATGATTACTACTTTTCTTTGATTATAACTAAATTGGGTGTAGAATGGGAATATTTGTTAATACCTAATCGTTGCATCATAATTAGGATGGGACCATGATCACATTTATCGTGTTACGTAATTTGATCATAGGTTATTACTACATTTCTTTGATTAATAATGTATTATAACTAAATCGGGTGTAGAATGGGAATATTGTAAATAAAAAGCTCCATTATTAATAAACAGGAGAAACCGTCGATGTTACACGACTGATCCTTCACCGGGTGTGCAACATATAAAAAAATTATTTTACAATACTAGATCATTCCGGATTAATTATAATCTGGAGGGATTGTAATCATAACATGTACTGGCGGAATTGTAATCAATGATCTAGTATTGTAAAATAATTTTTTATATGTTGCACACCAGGTGAAGGATCAGTCGTGTAACATCGACGGTTCCTCAAGTTTTATTAATAACTATATGTTAGACAAAATTGAAGATAATACGATAAATTATATCTTTCACTTTCATTCTCATTTCAAGTAGTGTCCATGGAATTCTTTGAGGACCTTTCAAATGATTTATATCAACTTTTTAATGAATCCGATAGTTACGATGTTATTATTCAAGCTGGAGAAAATTCGAATTTTAAAGAATTTAACGTACATTCGATTATTTTGTGTGCTAGATCACCATATTTTAAAATCGCTTTATCTAGTAAATGGGCAAACTATCAAAACGGCGTTATCACTTTTAAAAAACCAAATATCTCTCCAGCTGTATTTCAATTGATACTTCGGTACGTTCCAGTTATTGCTTGAACCTTGATTGAATTCCTACATTTCTTACTCTTTGTTATTTAATTTTCAAAGATACATCTATACAGGAATTCTTAATATAACTAATCAATCATGCTTCACTGTTCTTGATCTTCTTATTGCATGCGACGAGTTAATTCTTGATAAGTTGGTTAAATATATCGAAAAACATGTAAGATTACTTGCTATTTAAAGTCCTTAAGTTTGCTTATTTTAAACAAATAAGGTAACGAATCAAATTATAAAATAATTTAGCTCATTGATAGAGAATCATCATGGTTGCAAAAAAATTTCGTCATCACTTTGCACACAGCATTCAAAATCCAAAGTTGTAAGGCACTCCAAAATTATGTCATGAAAATTATCTGTAATGATCCAAAACCGTTCTTTGAATCAAATGAATTTCCAACTTTGGATAAAGATATCTTTTTAAACCTTATTAAGAGAGATGATCTTAATGTTAAAGAAATTGATATATGGAAATATTTGGTAAAATGGGGAATAGCTCAATCTGCTGCTTTTAATGAAAATTTTGCCAAAACAGATATTATCGATTGGAAAGAGGATGATATTGCACTATTTAAGAAGTTATTGGATCCATTTATATCATTTATTCGATTTTATGAAATATCTAGAGATGAGTTTTATTTTTATATTAGACCTTATAAAAAAGTGATACCAGAAAATCTTTATGAAGATTTAATGGCTTATTTTATGGTTAATATATTAAATCCTAGAATTTCAAGGTTACCATCACGTAATAGATCTATTGTTAGAATTGATTCCATTATAATTAAAGGGGACAATGCCGCGATAATATCTGATTGGATTGAAAAAAGAACCACTTCTTCTTTTTCTGAGAAACCTTTATATCAATTTATACTTACTTATCGAGCAACACGCGACGGATTTTTTAATTACAATAGATTTATTAATAAAAATAGTAATGGTGCAATTCTTGGATTGATTAAAGTTGCAAATTCAGAAAAAATAATTGGTGGATATAATCCCCTAGGTTGGAAAGCTGTCAACAATTATAATGACAATTATGCCTTCAATAATCATGGTTCTTTTGGTGCTCCTTCACCTTCTGGTTTTAGTTTTGGTGCCAATAACAATCATGCCTTCAATAATCGTGGTCCTTCTTTTGGTAGTAGTTTTAATTATAGTGCCAATAATAATTTTGATAATAACAATCGTAATACCTATTTTGGTCAGCGATGGGAGCATACTTATGATAGGTGAGTTCTAATTTTCGTATTTATTCTTAATTGTATGGTTTATGAGTATGTTATATAATAATTTTTATAAAACAAAAATTTGTAGTTTTATCTTTTGCTTTGGAAGTGGAATAGATTCTAATAATTGTATAATTAGCCGTGTGGTAGTCCCTTCGCAGGCAATTTGTAATAATAGCGGTGCTTGGATGCATTTCGGAAATTCTGATTTAATATTAAATTGTACGAGTGGATCCTGCGTACAAAATTGTTATGAAAAGGAAAATTTAAATAATGATAATTTCTTCGTTGAAAAATAGAGACATTTATCGTAAAAAAAGCAATTAATTAGCGTCATTTTGTATTCTAAAAATTTATTTTTGTTTTTTTTTTATTAATATTTTTTATGAAATATGAAATAACAAATTAAATTTATACGATACTTGTTATAACAATTTGGTTTGAGAATTATAATTCCAAAAACATTTACTTTCTAAATAAATATCATCGTATCTCTTAGTCTCTTAGGAAATTGTGATTTTATCATCAATTATGGATGATATTGGTAATGCTAAGCCAAGTTAACTACTGAAAAATTCCTAAGATTTATGTGTAAAACTTTATCGTCGTGATAATCACGTTGAAAAATACATAAATTTGATGACAACATTAGCTGTATGACGAAATTAATATGAAACCTTAAATTTAAAATGACGAAACCTTATCTCAAAGAGATGAGATCTTAAACTTAAAATGACGAAACCTTATGCGCAAAAATACGAAACCCTAATGCTCCCACTAAAAAAAAAAAAATGTTATTCTCATTAAATTAATATTCATAATTTATTCAGAGATCAGTATCCGAAATTATATATATGACAGCAAAAATAAATTAGCTCATTTTTTTTGGACAACGTTAGGGTTGCTATAGACCGGTTGAAATAACCTTGACAGTCATACCTGATTTATATCACCCCTTTTTACTAGAGCATTTTTGGTAATATAGCTAAGGTGGGGATATAACTCACTGTATAAACTATATAAAAAAGGAAATTTATTCTGCTTAAAGATGGGAATATAACTCAGGTTGGGATATAACCCAGTGGGGATATAACTCAGGTATGACTGTAATGAATTAAAACTATAATGCAATATCGAAATATTCCTTTGTACAATTCAAGCGCCTATTAATTTTTTGTAATTTTTATGAATTTTTGTTGGTTTATTTTTTTATACAAATTATTTTCAACATTTATTTATATATTTGTCTTTTATTAATTTTATTCTTTACAGTTTATCAGTTTTGTTACCTTTCATTAGTTTTGTTATCTTTTATCAGTTTTGTCACATTTCATCAGTTTTATCACCTTTTGTCAGTTTCATCAGTTTCATCATTTCATTATTTAAGATTTTAATTGACAAAAAACAAAATTAGGTTATGTGATTCATTAGTGTGAAACCTCGAGATTTCATCTAATAACTATATGGGTGTCTTGTATTAAAGGGGCTCATTTGACATATATAACTAGGTAATTCACACAATAACTATAAATTATTAAATGATCTTTATTGAGAATAAGCAGCATACATCAGTGCAATTTATACATATAATTGCATCAGCCGGTAGTTTTTCACACTGATATTTTCTTTTCTAGAATTGCAAGATTTAAACTAAAGTATATAAAAAGGTTGATATAATCTTGTTCATATGTTGTGAGCAGATCTCAGTGGTCGTAAACTACATATTTTCTTTTTTTATTATTATTTTATTGTTTTTTATTGTTATGAATATGTTATTAGTGTTATTTATTTATTAGTACTATATAATCTAAGTACAGAAAAAGCAGAAAAGATCAATACTGCTAATATATTTACTGGTATATGGCACAGTTATTTCATGCAATTTTGAATGAAGCAATTCATATAATTTTGAACAAAGTTAACCATACAAATTTGTACAAAGACAATCATACAAATTTGCTTGATGTTTTCAACTTCATTCAAATCTATACAATTAATATATTTTTAAAGAGGACATAATAAAAGTAGTTTAAATAGCAACAACAGCCTCATGTATGCAATAATGGTCTAAAAGTATATAAGACTAATCTCTTTGCTTCAATAAAAGATAACTCAGATAGTCTTTGCAAAACTCAGTGAGAGTTAGAGTTTGTAAAATTTATTGGAGTTCGACTTATAGAGAGTCTAGTATTTTGACTTTAAAGTTTTAGTCCAATAACCCCCAATAAGTCAAAATTGTATAAAGTTAGTAGTCTAAACTTGTGATTCTGAAATTGAGCCTTGTGACATAATCTAGAGCTCTATTTGATCCCAATAATTCAGATCAAGTCTTTTATGCCTTTTTTGTAGCCTGTATATTAGAAATTAGATAGAATTTGGTAGTTAAAAGTATTGTTTAGATTAGGGGCTTCCAGAAATTACATAATATTTTGTTATTAATAAATTTCAAAATTTCATTTCCACTCATCCACACCTGATACTTTATTAGCTAATCAAATTGCATAAAAATTTTAAATAGAATTAATTAATAAAAAATTTCAAATTATATAAATTTTGATCTATTAAACCAATTTGGATAATTTAACTACTAAAATGATCCTATCAATACGAGGATTTTAGCAAGCCCAAAATCATTAAAATCTAATTACAAGATCACAAGATAGGTAATTTTTGTATTATTTAAATATATATATAAAATAATATAAAATATTATCTATTTTGTGAATTTTTAATTAAATATTAATAATTTTGGGCTTGTTAAAATTCTCTTATTGAGAGGATTATTTTGGTATTCAAATTATCTAAATAGGCCTAGTAAATCAAAAGTTATTCAAATTTAAAGATTTTATTATTATATAATTTTATAATTCTAGTCAAAATCACTACAACACATATTCGACTTCAACAACTCCAAAACAACCTTTGGTTTACAACTAATATCCTTCAATATCCTCACCCTATCATCAACGGTCCCAACAAACACACTACTACTCTAAAAATTATACAACTCTTTAATTACTTACATATTTCTATACATGCATGGTCAGACTTTTCTTGGTCTAAAATTATAAATAATAGCTATACTCAACTTGAAACTATTATTTCTGATCACTCCAAATATAATACCTTCAAACAACAACTTAGACACAAAAATATCCTATATTTGAAACAACTCTGCTCAGCAGACAACAAGACCTTGTTAGACTGGATACACTTATCCTCCAGAATTCCTAAAGGCAAAAAACCACTCTGGTTTAACTACTTAGAAGATATTACTCTTGAAAATAACTTAACTCATACTATATTACCTCACTTCCAGCCCAAAGGCCTTAACTCTTTTGCATATCAAACCAACCTTATCCCTAAAACCCACAAACCTTGGGTTTTAACCTATTACAATGAGCATATTGTAATAGGACAAGTTCACAGGACCTTTATACAAACAAACACTATTTCTATAACATACTAGCAATATAATATTGACACCTCTATTTCCAACCACTACTCACTACCTCCTATTTCTTGTATACCCTGTCAAGGCTGCAGCCTTAACTCCAATTGTATCTCCAGTTGCTGTACTTTAGAAGTATCAGCCATCCTTTCTACTCAGTTCCTAGGTAGGAAAAAAGCCAACAAACAACTTAATCTTAATACAAATTACATTGACCTCATCTATTCTGCCAATATCAAACACTCCACAGAAATATCTCCACTAACCTCAATTAATATTATTGACTTTTCTATATCTAGCATTTTCCATAACAATAAAGCCTCTTTTCAGCTCACCCAGATTGTGCTAGCCAACTCATCTCAACAGCAATTTACCTTCTATACAGATGGATCTGTTAAACACTTTGGTACTGACCAATGCTCTATAGGTATTGGCTAGGCTTAAATTCACAACAACTCAGTTATACAAAACTTTTCTGCCCTCCTTATACAAAGCTGAATTATTAGCAATATTGTCTGTTATCTCTACTATTCCAGCCTACAAATCTACACTGACTCACAGTCTATTATATCTAAGTACAACAAACTCCTTACCCTGTCCCCTCAATCAACAAAATACTTCAAATTTAACTCCTGGCCAATTTGGCACACACTTCTCAACATCCTAAAAACCTTCAATATCCAACTGTCTTTTTTCAAAGTTCAAGCTCATTCTGATGACACTTTTAACAATCTTGCAGATTCACTTGCCAACAACCACTCTACTTCTCCAATGCTATCTTTCAATTACATTGATCCCTATAACTCTTACTCTATTTTATCATAGAAAAACAATTATATTGACAGCTCTTTGAAACAACTCACTAAAAATATATGCAACATATACAATATAGCTCTCTGGTTCTCACAAAACTGTGCCCAAGAATGGTCACATTTTTCCCACCAAATTGACTGGAATACCTATGGCTTTACTTCAATAATAATCAAAAAACTTCACATAACTTTACCAGTCTTAAACTAAACCATCTCAAATCTTTCAAAATCAAAATGTTACTTAATATACTACCTACACATGCACACCTTCATAATATCTACCCTTATATATTTACATCCCCTAACTGCTTTTCTTGCAATAACCCAGACTCTCCTTTACACTGGTACTCTTGTCCTAATTATAATCTCTTAAACCAAACTATTAACTCCTCTATATGTGATACTATTTTTACCACTAATCTTAACTTTCTTCCTATCAATTAAACATGCTTATACATACTATCTCTTTGCACTCTGCTTTTAACCTTTTACCATCTCAACTATATCCTTTTTCACTTAACTCCACACTTAAAGGTCTTATACCTATATCTCTAATCCAATCTCTA